AGATCACACTGCAGGGATTGTTGGCCAGAGGCTGCGTTGGCTTTCTCTGACTGCCAGCCTCACCTCAAGTCCCTTTAGGGACCCCTTGTCTCTCTTCCCAGGTGAGCAGGTGACCTGGAACTCAGTAGAACACAGGCCCAGGTCAGGAGGTCTTCGTCCTGGCAAGAGTGTTGCCCCACCATGTTGTGTGGCTTGAAAGAGTCTCTTGTCCTTTCTGTTGGTTTCCCTTTCTCCTAGATGAGGGTGTTGGGAGCTGTTCCAGATCCTTCTAGCTCCGCATGTGTGGCTCTGACGGGTACAGCTGTCTGGTCCATTAGAAGTAATGGCTCCCATTTGCCTGGTCCCACTGTCCCGGGAGCTCCACACATCCAGACTCACTTGATGGCGATGTCACACTACGAGGCACTGCCCCTGCTTTCCACCTGAACACATGGAGGCCCAGAGGAGTTCATTCACTTGCTTGAGGTCACTATTCTGGTGTAGTACAAGCTGCAATCCCCTAAATTATGCGTGTGACATGGCAGCCATTTATCTGTGGCCAGGGGCTTGGGAAGGGTTCAGCTGGGCAGTTCCCACTGGGTGTCTCCAGGCAGCTGCCAGCGGCTGTGTCCAGATGGGGCCAGACTGGACACCCAGGATGGGTCACTTACACACAAAGCAGCCAAAGTGAGGGCCACTTTGTGGTCCCTCCAGCATGGAAGGCTGGCTTGTCCCAGGGGTGGAACCCGAGTGAGCCTGAAGGGGAATGGGCAGGACATCTCGGAGCCAGCTTCCGATGTTATGTGTGTCTTATCCTTTGTATTCTAGCGGTGATGAGTCCACCATTAAGCTCGATCCAGATGTAAGGGGAGGGGACACACACCCTGCCTCTCAACAGCAGGACAAAGAATGTACATCTCATGTTTTAAGATCATCACAGTGACCCAGCTGATAAGTAGCAAAGCTGGACTTTGAACCTTCTCACACTGGCGCAGGGTCTGCATGTATAACCACCACACACAACCTACTTTGACATTTAGGCCTGCTTCCTGAGATTGCTCTGGTCTCTCGGACACTCTTCTTCGATCCCTGGGACTCCTTTCCTGCCTCCAGCCAGTCCTCATCACTCTGTTGCCCTTGCCCTTCCTCCCATGGGCCACTCCCCTTCTTTCCTCAT